TTGTATATATATATATATATATATATTTATTTATTTATATATATATGGCATTATATTATTAGCATAATTTTAGAATATGAATAAAAGTCATTTTTTTCTTGACCGTTGGCCACACGTCTCAAGAGTTTGTTCTTGTAGCTAAGAGTATCACAAGTGAAGAATATTTAGTCATGTTTTTAAATAAAATAATAATTAAAATTAATAGTAACCCTATAAAAGTATTCCGTTGTATTAATTTTAATCATAATTGATTTATGCTAAGAAAATTCACGGCATTATAGTAATGGATTAACGTCATAGCGTTGCACGAGAATTCAGCCAGTATACACAAGTCATGTCTCAAAAAGAGTTTGTTCATGTAGCTAAGAGTATGCACAAGTGAAGAATATTTAGTCGTGGTTTTAAATAAAATAATAATTAAAATTAATAATAACCCTTCTATAAAAGTTTTATGTTGTATTAATTTTAATCATAATTGATTTGTGGTAGAAAATTCACGCCATAAGAGTAATAGATTAGCATCTTAACGTTGCACGAGAATTCAACTAGTGATGACACCATAACTTTTTACGTGAAAAACCTGTAAAGAAAAAAAACTATGTGGTCTGGCGTAGTTGTAAAAATTCACTATTAATTAATGATTGCTGACATCTCTTGTCCCACAAATAGGAAATGGTTACTAAATTTTTCAAGTTATGATGTAAACGGACAGCGTCTGATTAGTGGTGTTGACGATGATCGGTGGTTGTAAAAGGCGATTGGCAGTGGTTGACGACAGTTGGCCGGTGTCTACAACGATCAGTCACCGACGATCGACTGTGGTCCTTAAGACGCTCAAATGTCCATCAAACGTCATCTAATCGAAGGAAGCTCTCTGAATCGTCAAATCAAAATGATTCAATTCATGTATTAATTGCACCCAAAACACTATAAATAGACCCCCACCCCTCACATGAGGGGAGAGGAGCCATGGAAGTGAACTTAAGGCTTTGTGAAAGAGTTGGAGTGTAGCACCACTGTCGACAGCCGTCGACCACAATTGATTTCCGTCGACCATTGTCGATCTCCATCGACCACCTATCTCCGTCGACTACCGTCAACCGCCGTCTACCGTCGCCGACCGTCATTGACCGCTACTAATTGTTGTAAACACCAACAAACCCTCAACTGACCATCCATTTTCTTAATCGGTCGGTCATTCCCGAAGCAGAACAACCATTTTTCGTGCAACTAATCCGAAGCAGAAAAACTTAAAAAGAGTTTACATATATTCTACTTGACTTCCTATACTTTAATACTGTCAGTTCTTTATTATGCATAAGATATTCATTGATTTAATGCATATTATATACATAAAATCAATTTAGTTAGATAAAGTTATAGAAGAGAATAAGAACAAAGCTGCAAAACCAAGGAATTTACATATAATACTTCTTTCTCGCTCAGCCGCCGTGCTCTATCTCTCAGTCACAAGCCAAAGGATAAAATTGGGTTATCTTAAAATTTTATCACTGAAATACGAAGAACAAAGCTGCAAAACCAAGGAATTTACATATATACTTCTTTCTCGCTCAGTCACAAGCCAAAGGATAAAATTGAGTTATCTTAAAATTTTATCACTGAAATACGTGGCAGAAGCTAGTATAATGAATATTTTAGTTAACAAATGATAGTATTTTCTCAACAAGAAATTTCACTGCAGAAAGATTTAAATGTATTCAGTTGTACGGATTCGACCGTTAATTCTCATGAAGCTGGTGATGAGCATTTTCATGTACATGGACCCATAAATTATCTTATTTTATGCAACACTGACATGTACTATAAAATAATTATCCAGAAATTTGAGAAGCCACAAACTTGCAGAAATAATGCAAAAAGAATAAGAAAAATGAATGAAGTCCTTAGTTTTATTTATGAAAAAGGGTGAAAGTAAAACCATAACATTCAACAAATATACATAAGTGATTGGAGATTGGAACAGAAAAAATTCTACTTGAAAAACATAGAGATGCAACCTTTTCAGTTGTAGATTATTCTTCTAGCCAAATACCTCTTATCAAAGATAAAATTGGCTGAGTATTCTGCCAAACCAAGCCCAAAAAATGTCATACTTCAGCAACATAGAGCGTAATGAAAATATATAAAAAAATATAAGAGCAAAGTCATTCATAGGCACATAAACATATTAAACCAGTATAAGGAAGGTAAAGGAATGCTCATCTCATAAATAAAACCTGTAATAACAGTTAAAAAAAAATGGATAACATCTAATGAAAAAAAGTTATGAAAGAAATAACTACAAAAATAAAGTATCAAAAAGCTAACAAAAGTATAAATACATTAATGCCTAAAACTTAAAAATATTAAAACCTACAAGAAAATGCACTCCAGTATCCATATGCATTATCAATAAAAGCCACAAATTCTTGTTAATATCAAAACATCTAAATGCAATATGTCACATCTCCTAAAAGAAATTCTAGTATGCTGATGTTTATGATCATTTTTTGATAGGCTATACCCAATGTAATTTTTTTTCTAGCATCTCACTATACAATCACATCAAATAAAATTGGCATGATAAATATCAACCCAAAAAAAATCAAATGATTTCGTATAAAGTTGTAACTTTATAGTGTTTTTGCACAATTGAAGGGGGTGGTGACTGAATAAGTTGATTTTACAACATGAATTTCAACCGTCGAGTCACATGAATAGTGAGCTGTTCTTTTTAAAATTTTTCTCATGTAGATCGATTAAAGTGAGTTTTGATTCAAATTATAATAATTTCAAGCTGAGCTCCACTTATCTTTATTTAACTGATTTGGAACTTGGTAGGTTTGCATGCTTCTTAATAGATGATGACTTCTGACATTAAAGACTAGGTTTTGACTTGATATATCTAATTTAGGTAAATTGAGTGTACACACCACAATGTTAAAAAAAAATAATTATGGTTTAAGAGACTATTTTATTTAATTTCAATGATTTGATGTCCATAATAATTAAAGTCTTAGTTCCCTAATTTTAATGGAAACTTGGGAAAATATGTTTTATATGCATCGTGTTATTCTCAATAACTACAACTAGACAAGAATTATAACTTCTTTGATACTTTTATTATACATGCACTCTCAACTCTCCTAACCACCGAGTACGTTGTTCCACGCCTTCCTTTTTTTCAATTAAGAGCACGCTCACACACATGCACACAAAGAGAGAGAGAGAGAGAGAGAGAGAGAGAGAGAGATATATATAATAATAATAATAATAAAAGGGAGTATTTCTAGGTGCAAATTACTATATTTTTCAAAAAAAAAAAAAAATCTCAAAAGGGTAGAACGTTTTCTTAAATTTATGGAATCAAGAGTAAGTTCTTCAAAATCAATTATATCTCATTTTTGCAGACAAAACATTCTTAGTTAATGAATATCATGTATTCCAAGGTTGAAAATAGTCATTTGAGATGAATTTATATGATGAATAGTTCAACTATTTTAGATTATATGATTTTGTATATGGCAATACCTTGTGGGCTATGTTTCCGTCATAGAAATACAGTTCCTTTCAAAAAACCTAATTATTGGTCATGAGTTATCACATCCCTGCTATCCAAGACAAACGTGGCGTGCATACTTTGAGACACCATGAAGCTTAAGAATATATTAGACATTTAATACAATTGGAAAAATTTGACAGATATTTTTTTGTAATTTCATTTGGTTGATAAAAAATTAAAAGTTCATTTCTTATATCTAAGCCAAATGAGCAAGACTCGCCAGAAAATCAAAAATACTTTCAATTTCCTCACTTAGGAAGGGTACATAATTGCATTAAATAAAAAAAAGTCACACTATCTAGCCTAAAATTACCTATTAAGTACTTTTACATTTAGACCACCCAAATATATCATATCACATCAAAAACACCACTATTTTATCATTAGAAAAGGAAAATACACACCTTCATTATATGCAAGGTGGCATATATGCAAAATTGAAGGTTGGGGTGTTAGATATCTAAACATGTAGAAATTGAGTGGTCGTATATATGTAAATCTTCCAATTATGAACCTCAGAATGCTCCAAAGAAACAGCTTCATGATGTTAGCTCTAAAAAAAACCACAAACTTCCTACAGCCTGAAGTACTCTCAGAAACCCTCCCTATTGCCTTCTCACCCTCTTATTTTGACGACTACTTTCCGGCGTGCCGTCGGACTGCTTCCGTTTTTGAAGCTGCTTTGCTTTCTTAGCAGCAACAGCAGGCCGCTTCGTTTTGCGATGCTGCTGCTCATTCCAGCTAGAATTCTTGGAACCATTGTCAATCGTGCTATTGCTCTGGCTTGGCCGAATAGAGGATTTCTTCGCAACACCAGTTTTGCTTGAGCGGAGGCCTTCATACGAAGCGGAAGAATTATCTGCTCTGTTTCGTTTATTGTCTTTTGCTGAAGGTGTAGAACTGGAAGCTGGCGCAGGCCTCCCATGAGAAAAATCTTTGCTTGGGGTCTCTTTAACTTCAGATGGAGTGGCGTCCGGTTTAGCATGGCAGACGCGCAAATTTCTGTCCCTGATTTTTAAGTCTCTTCTCTTGCAGACATTGTTGGCAGCTTCCTACAAAGAGGAAAAATAAATATTTAGGAAGATTTAAATACATAGCAATTAATTCCTATGAAGTTATATATCTAACATGTAAGCTTCAATTTTTTGCATATACTTGTGCATGGAAAGGTGTATTTCAGAAAGGTGTATTTCACTTTTTAGAAGTTAAGATAATGATATTTTTTATGTGATTAGAAAGATTTGGGTGGTACAAATGTAAAAAAAAGAAAAGTTTAGGCGTTAGATATGTAAATAAGAAAGCATTGAGTTGTACTTAATGTTGTAATGTCTGTATCTTTGGTGTCCGGTTACAAAGGGCAAAAGACTAAGAGTGTAGAGCTTCTGATATAAACTTACATATGATGCTATGATATTTTGAGTGAGATGCAATTCAGCTAGGAAACAAGTAAAATCTAACACGGCAACTATTTTCAGTCATCAATGAAAAACTTCTACTCTTCTAATAGAAATTCAGGATTAAAAGCAAACAGTTGATTAAGATTTCATCAGAGAAAATAATACAAAAATTAAGAGATTCGAGTAAAAACAATCTCACAACCAAGCCAACTACAAAATAATGAAATTAAAAAAAAGGACAAAAAATGAAAAGAACTGTGACAAAAAATTTCAAAATTGAACCAAGAAATTAGCTCTATCGAAAGAGTCTCAGGAGTGATGAACAATCATAGTTAGATAAGTAGATAAATAAGGCCTGAACATCCAGCCTAGAAGTTGCCATGGCATTGGTTAACATTCATTCCATTGGAACACTTTCAGTGATAGAAAAAAACAACATCAAAGCCCTGAATGAGGATTGAGAAGACTGGAATTCCATCATAATAGAACCGCATAAGCTCTGAAACCTATAGAATATCATAGATGATAAATTATAGAATTCCTCTTAATGAGATGGCAATATGACATTTTGTGCCCATGAACTGTAGATTTAAGGTACATTTTAAGCGGCATAGCTTTTTATAAAAGAGAATTTTAGAGCTATAACGAGAGAAAGGCAATTTTCTGAAAACTGTAATAGGTATTATAATTTCCTTTTTCAGAAGTGTAGATGTTCTAAAAAGCGAAGTGGTGAATAAGCTGCCACAAACAGAACCTAAACTAATACTGAAAACTAAGTTAGAACATCAATATGATGTTAAATAAGGTCAATTCCAAACTCAAAATAGAACTAGAATCAGAATCTATCCAACACTTCAAACTGAACAGATTATAACTATAAAAACCGTTAAATTATCTAAACAAATTGATGCTATTTACAACTCAACAAACCAACTAAAAAATGATTTTATTTTTGTTTCAGACTTCTTTGATTTATAAATTAATAAAATAATTACATTACACATGTCAGATTGCAATGAAAAAAAAGGATTCATGTAGCCGACCCCACGTAGTGGGATTAAGGCTTTGTTGTTGTTGTTTGTTGTGATGTCAGATTGCATCAAGATATCCATAGTCTTTCTTGTTCGTATAAATTCCTTCAAGAAAAACAAAATTTTAAAACTCTTATCCATATCACAGAATCAAACTAATGGATAATTAATTATCTTGTAAGTCATTGTGATCCTCTTTCTCTGAAAAGAACGTTCATCCGAATAACACAAGTGACTTGTTTAAATCATAATTATCAATATAGTTTTATTGTTATTATAGGAGAACTTTCTTAAAACTTATCAACATTCAATTTCAAGAATCTGTGAAGAAGTCTCAGAAATTTTCACCACACATGCATCAGATTCCACGGAATCACACATTATTTATATATATAATTTTCATGAAAATATTTAAAAAAATATTGTTATTAAATATTCCAATCAAAATATGTGAAATTTAAGGCGAAGAAGTATAGAATGGATCTCTTGCACACAAAATTTCCTTGAAAAAAGAATTTAACTACAAGAAATGCATGACCATATAAAATATACAGTTTATTAGAAAAATGTAAACAAAACAAGATTCCAAGAAAGTTCCAGTCTAGTTTTAAATCATCTATTCCAACTTCATACCCCCAACCATAAGCAGAGCCTTAAATTCTTCCCTTTCAACCTCATCCTTATGGTTACACATCTGATAAGTTTAATATTTTTCAAATCTAAATCTATTAATCGAAAAAAGATGACCGACAGCTCTATGATAAAAAATATAAGGACCTTGAGGATGTGCAAAGCAATTCTACTTGCTTTTTATTTTGATTGGAAAGAGTTTTTTTTTAATGCAATATTTTCTAACCACTCCAGGTGTAAGTGGAGATTTGAGATCTGTGGGGCAATTATCGCCTTGAATCATTGTGAGGCATGACATTTATATTTGGTGATCTTTTACCTTTTTTTAATTACATTCCCTAATTTATCGTAAAATATTATGTCATTTCAGACTTCCAAATTTGAAACAACTAATTTTCTACCGCAGCATGATTTTCAATCAAATGTCTGACTTCTTTGGTTCGAAAGTTTAAATAGACAGGGTCCAACAAAATTTACTGTGAGTAAAAAATTTACACAATGAGGAGTAGTGACCTATTCAACCCAATAACAACGTGGTATCAAGGAAGCATTCTTCAAAGAACAGAAGGATCTTCCACCACAAAGGAAGTACGAACATAAAATTCAAATGACTTTGGAGAAGAAACATCAGGGTGTGTTCCTTGCAATAAGCAAGACTGCAGTCTTAACCATGAACAAAATAAAAAGGACTTGATAGATTGAAGCCAGCAAGTTTGATACCAACACATCAGTCCAATTAGGCAATTCATATAAAAGATTAATGTCAACATGTCCTGCTTCTAACTAGAAGAAAAGGAAAGAAAAAGAATTTAATAAAGATAAAATGTTAGCTTACATCATTTATTAAATGGTAAAAAATCAAGAATAAGGATCAACCACACCTTAATTCTCAAAAGAAGAAGCATAACAAAGATCTAATAAAAACTAATTTGTATTTATGCATTTCATTATTTGATGACCTTTGACATTTTACAGTTTCCTTCATGAAGGGTTACATTTAAGCATGTTCTAATGTAAAATCGTTGTCTTCTCATTATTGTGTTCATGCATGTTTAGTTTAGGGAGTCATTTAATCGATGTGTAGCCCCCATAGAGCTTAAGAGTATGAGTTGGAATTGGTGATTCGCGTTTTTTTTTTTTAATCAATAAAAAGCTTGTTCATTGAAGCCCCAAAAACTCCATTTTATTACAGTAAATGTGATTGCAATGAATGGATCTCCAATCAATCCCCCGTTCTTCCTCTTCTCTTGGCAAAAATATGAATACTTCTTGAGTGCATGCCAGCATTGTCGGAAGAGTTTTCCAACTCTCATGCTACCTCTCCTACCATCTTCCCATAAAGATCACTTTTCTGAGCTTTTTCTCATGCCATAAAGGAATTACAAATGAAAATAAGGATGAGATTAACGTACAAGTAGAAAAGGACTCCAAGGGGTGTACTTAACAGAAACTCAATTTGAATCCTATCAATTAAGGGTGAAAGCAAACCAATCATCCAAGGTAAGGCCAAGTGCCTCTCTTACAATAAAATAATAATAATAGTAATAATAATAATAATAATAATAACAATAACAATAAGAAAAAGTTTATATATATATATATAAGTTCCTCTCTTACATGAAAAGAGATTCAAGCCAAGACCCCAATTTATTTTGTGCTTTCATCAGGTAGTATCTAGTAAACTTCATGCGGTATCAGATAAAGATCTTCCCACCCTGAACTTACCCATTTTGTCTATTTTAATTCCCTTTAAATCTCTGAAATTTTTTGATATTGTAAGTATGTGACTTGCACCATTCAATATTCACGCTACTTAGACATTGTTTTTTCAGCTTCAGCATATTTTACCAACTCTATTTTCAATCATAAATTATGGAAGCATCTGTGATTACAAATATAGTGGCCATTAGATATGCAAAAAATAATTCAACGTGATTTCAACTTTGATTGATAGAATTTCAAGTTGGAATGCAATTCCTTAGCACTTTCTCAGTGCAATTGGAGATTGAAGAGTTTAGCAGGACATTATCTCCCAGCAGCTGTAGGAATATTTATTCTTCTATGTGGTGATATTTTAATTTTTTTAGTTATATTCTCTAACTTTTAGTAATTAATTTAGTTGTCTAAGTATAATTTGGTTTTTTATTGCAAAATGTTTTCAGTCAAACGTCTGATTTTCTATAAACGTGAATATATATTTGATATTATGAATAAACGATGATTAAATTATCCTCAACAACAAATTATTTGTATTTTCAATTTTTATCTACAGGAACAAATAAATATCAAAATTAAGAGATTGTGAACTGCAAATGCGAAGGTGTGCATTTATTTTGAGCATCCTTTCGAACGCATCGATTAGGAAAGCCAAACCGTAATAATTATTTTATATATGCCAAAATGAGTCATTGTTTAACTTTAGTAATTGTGAACTGTGAATTTGAATGTAATAATTACCTTATCGTTCATTATAGATGCCCTTCTTGACTAGTTTAGAAGAAAAAAAAGAAATAATTGCCAAACTAAGTCTAAATGACAAAAAAAAAATCAGTACTTCACAAGTGAGTTGTATAGAAGACAAAAGCATGCAAAACAAAATCAACCTGATATATATATATATATATATTAATTCTATTAGTTGTAGCCTAGCAAATATTTCTTACTATTGCGAGAAAAAAAACACACCCTGGTTTTAAACAGCACATAAGCAATGCCCTTTCCAATGCTTGTGTTTGGATCTCTGATTACACGCACAGCTTCAACATTTGGTTCTGACTGGCTCAGGCCACAGAATAATTGGTAGAGCTCTTCATCCTGGAGTGCCAGCAATATATATCAGACATAGAGGGCAAATAAATTTTAAGAAAATAGAAACAACATTATTTTCAATTACAAATATATCCTCGACAAAAGAAAGCTAACCTTCACATCAAAAGGGAGGTTGCCCACAAAAACTGTTCTCTTTCTATCATATGGCCGAGCAACACCTTTCATTTTCTTGCGAGGTGGGCATGCCATATCAACACGGATATGATTTCCACCAATCTAAGTATAAATATTTATTACATCTTAAATACAGCAGCATACTAACAGTACAAACAAACACTATCCAAGCGAATCAATTTTAAATGTTTCTGCAAGCTATATACCTCTGTCATATTATTAGACAAAGCAGCATGAGCTGATTGCTCCTCTTTGAAGACGATGTACGCATTCATGCTGTAAAGCGCCACTCAAAATTAAACTGGCAGTATATATACCCAATCCAACAATTTAAACATGTAAACATGTAAACATGTGCAGAAGTCTCGTGAAATGTTAGGCATGAAAGAGCCAAAAATAAATATATAACTTAGGTCCTCAGCTTATAATTCAAAAAGAACTTTCCTAAGATGAAAGTGATTTAAAATATGTTTTTGAATAAACAATATAACCACTCCAATATAATCAAAACACGTGTTCAAAAGAAAAATATGTGAAAGCACATGGTGGCACAATGACAAAATTATCATAATAATGAAATTTGAATATCCAAAAAATTATCCTCGGCTAGTTGAGAATCTATGGTACAGTCGGTATGTGAGTGATAAAGCTTCATAAATTATAATTTGCTTTGAAATCTAGAATGACGCAATCTATAAACAGTTAGAGAAACAAATTCTATCATAAAGCTATATGCAACGGTAAACAAATCACAGCTATGGCATTAGGAAATAGTGCCATAACATCAGACAAAAGGATGGGGTTACCATTATTATCCTTAGAATCCCATATATATATATATATATATATATAGAGAGAGAGAGAGAGAGAGAGAGAGAGAGAGAAAGACACACACACACAAGAGTATTGCAAACTTTGAAAAGTATATATCCTTCATAAAATTACAACAATTAGCTAGAATTTAGGCACTATGAATATGAACATAAAGATTTACTCATTGCATGAGCTCCAGTAATGCAGGGTCTAGAGAGGAGTTGATAAACACAATTTTAATCCTAAATTCATGAAAAGGTTGTTCCCATGATTTAAACCGAGGTACTTCCAATTGCAATAATGCAACTAAATCATTGCTTAGGGTCAATCTATTCAATGAAGATGGCCATGTTATAATTTAATGTATGGTAAGCATGAAAATATACTTGTTTAAAACCATATTACATTTTTTTTTCTTTTCAAGCCATAATAATTAGGAAACATGCAAAAGGATTTGTTAATTATCCAACGTTGTTAATCACATTAAAAAATATCCAAAATATGCTAAATGTATACTATATGAATTAAGAGTTATAAATCACATTAAAAACATCCCTAAAATGCTAAAAATACAATAGGAAATCTATGAATTATAAATCATATTAAAAATACTCATAAGAAGCTAAATTTATAATAGAGGGGGCACTCAACATACAAAAATCAATCTAACAAAAGGAAAGGGGCTCATGCATTTAGCATTAATCTTGAATTACAAAAAGGCTATTTTCATGCTTTGGTTGTCATTTGATCGGAATGAAGGCAATCCAACTGTTGCAGCAAAGCACATCTTCTTGTGACTAACATACTATACATGCATAACATTTTATTCATGGTTTTAGATATAATTAAAGCTTAGAATAAAAATCTGAAAGCTAATCTTGCCAAACTGACAAGAAACTTTTAAATACATTAAGATTGCCTAAAGATACTAATTATCTTAAATTATATTAACCAAAATGTGCCACAATGGTTCATTATACAAAATTCATTTAGCTGACAAACATGCATTTTTTAGCCAACTGAAATAGTACACTAAATTTTAGATAGCAGAGATTAATGCCCGACTGGTAAGGACCTTGAAAATAATTGTCAAGCTCTTAAGTTCAAATAGTGTCTATACTATAACAAACCGCAACCAGTACACAATGGGGTGTGAGAAAAATTATATGCAATATCATATTAATAGACTGAAAAGTCAAACACAAACGTGTCCACCCAAACATATAGACACATATCAACTTAGATTACTAAGCCAAACTAAGTAAAATACCAATACAACTATGCACGAGTTTTTAGAAAACACAAAATATATGAGAATGAAAGCTCAGAAGTTCAAAAATATGCATTAAAAAAAAATCCTTCATTAATAAAAGGAAAAAAAAATAAAGAGCGAAGTATGAATCAATATAAACTTCTAAAAAAAACAGACAAAAATCTATGTTTCTCTTTAAGCCAACCAAACTTCCAAAAAAAAAAAAACAGAGGCCATGAGCCTATAAAATTAAAGATACAAAAAATGGTTAAAAAATGAAAATCCAAAAAAAGAAGTAGAAGCAGGCACAAAAGCAACAATTGAAAAATGAGAAAATATATACAATTTAAAATCATAAGAAAATATAAACAAAACTCAGTTGTGCCTCTTTTACTTGTGAGAAGGTTGTGATTCATAGCAGTTTGATATGCATTCACAAGTCTTCACGCAAACCATGGCTCGCCAACATGCACTTACGCACGTACAGATCTCTCCCCCAACTTGTTACACCCATTCGAGCTTGGGGAAGCCCAGATGTCTTGTCATCATCTCTCTCATTCTGGTCTTCTGCTATCCCAAAGCTTGTTCAAACTCCCCTGTAGCTTGGGCTTTTTATGCAGCTCCCCCACACAAGCACGACTTCTGCTCTTTGATCCTCTTGAATGCAACTATCCCATGTTTACATACCAAGACTCAACTTGCTAGAAGTCTCCAAGTGGCAAGCCTATAATTATATTGTTCTCACTTGATCGATTAATATTCTTGAACCTTTCATTGCCTTCATGGCCAAAATCATGATTGTCTAGGCTATGCAAGATTTTATTTGCTCCACTTTAAAAAAAAGTAGCATCTGAATTTAATATTTTTCTGCTGTAGCATTGTTTCCTACAGTACAAAGATGCATCCATTAGGTTACAACAACACCATGCAAGGAAAAAATATAAGTCAATTCACTCTCAACCATTTATCCTGATTCATCCCTTCAACGTGTATGATTTTGGTGATAGTTGAATCCATAGTTACCAATATTGCAATTAGTATCTCGTGAGTTCATCGGATAACTAAACTATTGTTTTCTTGCCACCAACATGTATAATTTTGGTGATAGTTGATTCCATGGTTCCCAATCTGGCAACTACTCTCCAATGAGTTCATCAGATAATCAAAATGCCCTCGCTATCAAGCATCAAAATGATTACGGTGGCCTTAGTGATCATGGTTATGAACGTTACATTGATATTGGATATAATCATGGTGGTAAGATCGTTTCTGCTTATTCTCATTGTGTTTGTGCCATTATCCCTCTGAGCGTTGTTGAGACAAATTTGACTGAACTCTTACTGCCCAGCATGTCTTAAGGGACATATTTTCACTAATGATTCTTCCACTATTGTCACACTTCTATTCTCACTAAAAAGGAAAATAAATGCTTGATTCAGACTTCCAACAACATATTGCTTCTTATGTTCTTTCACCCTCAAAATATATTTCAGTTGTCTCCATAAATGTCATGGATCTTGGATTTGTGAGCCTCCATCCATATGATAAGTAACAACAAACTTTCCTTCTCCCTTCACATGATATCCCTTCCTCTTGTGATTGTGGTCGATTGTTATTCAAACTCTCTCTCTCTCTCTCTCTCTCTCTCTCTCAAATATTTTATGACTCATAGTTTCCTACAATGTATTATTATAGTCTCACTGAGTTTCATAGTTACTTTTGTAACTTTCTATCCTAATTTTATCATTCAAGACGTTGATCAAAAGAATACACTTGGGATAGGTGTTGATGCCGATGGAGTCTACTACATTATGACTAATTTCTTTGTTTCCTTTTCCACCATTACTTATTCTCTTCACACTGTCAATTTGTTCTACATACTCCAATTACAGTTTAGGATTTTTTTTATTAGCACCTTGACACACTCAAAATTGGAACATTTTTTAAGAAAAATTAGGGCAAACACTATTTCTTAAATAAATCAAACACTCAATAAGAAAACAAAGATAAGCTGATAAGCACCTGCGATTCCAGAGTTTGACAATCTCTCCCAAAACCTAAACCTAAGACTCACAACTCAATCTCATGCATAAACCTATCCCTAGACATAACAAGCCTATTTATTTATACCAAACAATAATAATAATAATAAAAGACTAAAGTGCCCTTAAGCGTACCAAAGATAGATTTACCCTTAGGCTAGGCCCCCACCTGACAACAGCATTTGTCAGATTGAGCTCTAACAAAACTTGAACAACTTGTAACATAAGCTTAGCTCGATTACAACCTTTACAAATAAGCCATGTCTGTTAAAATTGATCTTCTTCTTAGTGTTCATACAACTAGATCATGTTGTTCCCCATCCTGTGGTCAAACTCATTGCTTGTCAGTCAACATTCACTATCAAATTTTATCCTAATGGAATGATTGATAGCAACAAATATCTTTAGTTGCCAAACCGTTCACTTAGATCCATGGTTTTCACACATTCTCTCTAGTGGCATGTCTGCACTCCATTTGAATAATTTTAATTGTAGCCATCAAACCTTTTTGGTCTACGCGGCAAATTGATGTCAGCAATTCCTTTCATTACTATGACCTATAAGAAATCATTTATATGTAGTAATCACTCAAATATGTCACTCAAGGGATGAGAAGTATATGTATTCTCAAAAAGGTTATCAAGGGTCTCAATCAAGGGTCTCAAAGAGAGTAGATGGGCCAAGTTGGAAACACTATGCAAAATCATGTCTAAGATTAACATTCGCAATAACACCGCAGATTACAATACCTTCATCAAACATTCTCTTGCGGAATTCATTTACTATACGTTTATGTTGGCATCTTACTCAATAGAAGTAAAAATTAGGGGTGTAAACGAGCAGAGCTTGAGCAAGCCCAGGATAGGCTCGTTTAGAAAAATCACTGTTCGTGTTTGGCTCATTTATATATCGAGCTCAAAAACATTTGTTTATGTGCGGCTTGATTGCTTAGCAAGCCAAACACAAGTTGATCACGAACAATGAGCTATTTTCACAACCTTAGTCACACAGTCATAGGATGTAAGGGTAGTACAAGATTTAAATCTAATTATTTAAATTAAAATATTCATTTAAATAAAATTTAATATATTTTAATTCTATTTTTAAATTAGTAATTCTAATTGATTGTAAAATTCAAAGCATTATTCACGAATAATGAGTCATTTTGACAACTCTAATCACACATCCGTAAGATGTTAAGAGTAGCGAGAAATTTAAATCT